GTGTGTGTGTGTGTGTGTGTGTGTGTGTGTGTGTGTGTGTGTGTGTGTGTGTGTGTGTATGTATGTGCCACCGGAGGCTGTTTCTCGTGTTACTCCGCATTGAGATCGAATTCACTGGTTTCTCGTAAAATAGCTACATAATACCATCTGAATATAATCCGAGCATGCACCATACAGGAGCAGCGTTTGCTGCCAGGATTTTGCAGCTTATTTCCGCAGTAACTGGTCTGACTAGTCAACTTGAAGACCTGTTCGGTGGAGTTGAGAAAACACACTAGTAATGCATTGAACTACTGTTAGTGCCAATAATATTGACCAATAACATTTTGCTGGCTGCTGCTGCTCATGCATGCATGCATGTTTTATATGTTGCATGTAAACCCCCTCTACTGGTAGCTTTTTTTTTTTTATTATTATGATTATTCATGGATGAGGACTGTTACATGTTTCTATATGAGTGATTTAAAAAAAAAAAAAAAAAAAAAAAAAAGGGGGGGGGGGTGGGTAACACAATAAACCATATCTTTTGGGTCACATTGCACATGCTCTCTCAGAGGAATTGGTGTAAACTAATGGGATGAGCATAAACCATTGTAGACCTCTGCATGATATGAAGACACTTTCACCTATTTTTTTTTTTTTTGTAGTTGTTTTTTTAGAGCCACAATTAAGATTGTAGTCACTGAGTTGTATTGTATTGCTGCGTTACACAACTGAATGTCCATTAGAGATACTTCAGGATGTCAGTGGATGTTTTGTCTGTATTTGGACCTTGTTTGCTACTGTTCATATACCGGATATAAATGAACAGTTTGATTTTGTGTGCTACATCTAAGCTATCACAGAAGCTTTGCCTAGGCATGAGTTTATGACTGCTGAGAGAATCAATTCTGAGCACTTGCCCAGTCGAATGTAAATTATGCCTTAAACGTCATGACTCTTAAAATAAATCACAACTGGCAACATCTGACCAAAGCACACAGAAAAATAGGAAGCATAAAGAGGAATTTGATTTGTGTATTTATTTAATGGAAATTCTTTAGCTTTTTCAGTGCTGAATAAGAGAAACCGTTATAGATATAGATATATAGGCCTATTTATTTTAGTTGGTGCTGTATTATTTTGTTATTATTCTCCAATGGATTTTTTTATGTCCCTTTGACAAGATAACATGAATTGTATCATTTTTAATGTTTTTCCCCCCTCTAATTTCTAGTCTAATCCTTTTAGGAGCAATTAGATTGAACTCTCTGCTTTTTTTTTTTTTTAATTAAAGCATTAGAGTGAAAAGCTTACACTTGTGTCTTATGTTGATGCATTACAAATCTACACTGTAGTTTTGGCATGAGACAAGTTATTTTATTTTAATTTTAGCAGTTATAGCAATTTGTAAACCGATACAACAGATACAAGATACATCTATTATTGTTGTTATTATTATGATTAATAACTTAACTTTCTTTTTTTTTAACTTTAACATAACTTTGTGAGTGTTACACTGTACCTCAGATGTAAAGGATGATATACTAGAAGTTGGCAGTAATCTGCTTTATTTGACCTTAGATTGTTGACCGCAAACATCTTAGTTGGCACTTATGAACTTTGTTCAGTGGCTTCGCTTGCTCTATCTGCTTTTGATGTAAATATTTACCAGCTAGTAAAAGTACATGCCATGGTCAGCTGTTTTTCATGAGAGCTTTGGTGGAACTGAGTGTCTTGCAAGATTAGCATTTAAAGCAAGCAAAAATCAGTTTGTGTTCCTCACAGAACACATTATCATTTGGCAGTTTGCATTAAAATGACACATTTATGTACAGTGTTTTGTGTGCTTGTGATTGTGTTAGTGTTTTAGACTACATCATGTGCAGAGTGCAGAATGGAAGTAATGGTGGTTCCTCTTCCAGTGTCTTATTCACTGTAATCTGTCAGCACAGCTGTTGTGGGTACATTTATTTCCCTTGTATAACACCCAGACAGCTTAGCTGGGTCATTGTACAGCAACACAACTTCTGAAACAAATCCCCAAAACAAAGGACTTTTTTTGTCGTGGATAATATATATTTTCTCTAAAAATCTTCTTTTGTACAGCCGCAACAGGGTTGCTGATGGGCAAATCGATAAATGTGCATTTGGATTATACAGTAGCTTATCGCATCCGTTTTTATGAAGTGATGGTGATATCTATGTTCAGTTTAAATATCTGAATGTTGGTAAGAAAAAGAAAAACAATAATAATAAAAAAACTTTCACATCTCAGTCTGCATAGGTGATGGACATTGATTATGCTCATCTTTGATATTTCTATTGAAGGCATCTTGAGTAAAACAGCTCCATATTTAACGAAGCACATCCAAAAGACCTGAACTGGAAGCGACGTGACCTGTTTTACAGAATAGGGAAGTTTGTTGCTCACAGCCCCGATTTTGGAATAATTTCTGGAATAATGTACCAGCCATGACTCTTTAAGCTTGACGTCGACTTGGGCTGTCAAAATAGCTGAAAAACTAAATTATAATTGTTTTACTTAAATATGATCAAATTTCGAATTATATTCGAATTTAAAATGCATAATTTCAGTTAGGGTGAAGAAAAGCTTTTGGCTTCTCTCCTGAGGCCACAAGAGGGTGCATCGAGCAAAATATTACTAATGCACGTTTATTCAAAGTGCATAATGTTTAAAATAATGTTTATAAACCAATTATAATTAAGTTGCTTGAACAACTATAAACAAAACAGCATCATGTATGTATGCATAGTTTAATACAAAGGACCGAAATCACACAGAGTATATTTTTCATTTAAAAACACGAGTGCAGTGGAATGGGGAAAAAACCCGCCATAAAGTCTCGAGGTATGTTTTTTCAAAGTTGAACTTGCATTAATTTTACATGGCTTTCTAAACATGCGGCTTCTTTGTGCGAGATGCGAGTGCAACGGAAATAGACGTCCCTCTCTAGAAAATGCACGAAATATGCATTCTATGTGAGCGGCT